ACGTTCATTTGAGCTTAAGACAACGTTTTTGTGAAAACCGCTTAGCCAAAGTTTTTGAAATAAGACTGAATATAAAAGCACCACAGCATCAATATTCCGTTTTTTTTTCCAAAAGTCCGAACAAAAAAAATTGATTGAAGATGTTCCACTGATTTATTGTTAAATATGCATATTTCTTGTGAGTTTTTCAAAATAATTTAAAATTTTCTTCTAAAATTCTTATTCTAATGCACTTCAAAAAAACTTTGCAGTTCTCAAAACGTTTTAAATTTGTTTATTTTTGTTTTTTAAATTTTTTTTGGTACTGCACAAATGGTTCAGCAACTTTTGAGCTGTGAACAGATTCTAGCGTTTGAATTTTTCAAAAACGATGTTGATAGATTGAATAAAAGTGGCAACATTCTATTAAATTTTCTCAAAATAGCAATCAACCATACTATCACGGACTAATAGGTCATCAGTTTTTTAAGAGCAACTAGAATTGGGGTAATATAGACTCATAATAGAGCTGCCAGTATTGATAGGTGTATGAAGCTTATTGCTTCTGTGTCAAAACGCCACTCAAAATTCGGCAGCTTCTCCTAAGTACCGACTTGTTTCAGCTGACAACCTGAAAAAAATTCTCCAGTTTTTAATATCTAGACACCGACAGAGAAAACCACCACCTTTTAAATACCCAATTATTTATATTGTTTTGCTCCGATGAAAAAAAAACAAAAGAAAAGACGACAACAACTTTGAATGCAAAAAAATGATGATAAAGAGGCAGGGGCGGATTTGATGGGGGGACGCCTTTCCCTTTCAAGGATTCGACCCTCTGCCGACCCAAAGGGTCCCCCCTTTGGTACTTTTTTGCGGCTTTTTTGACCTGTTTTTTCTAAAGTTTGCCTGCGGCACAGATAATTTTTGACCTGTTTTTTTGACGGCTTTTTTGACCTGTTTTCTCTAAAATTTGCCTGCGGCACAGATAATTTGACCAAAACAGCAACTTTTTAGTGCTTTAGGAGAAAAGAGAGCTCGGAAAATCAATTCGACCGTTTGGCCGACCTAAAAAAAAGTCGTTAAAATTTTCGAAAATTTTTTGAAAATCCTAGATCCGCCCCTGTAAAGAGGTAGTTTTTATCGAGATTTAAGTTTAATAGATCGAGATTTATGGAGAAAGTTATGGGGATATTTATCGAGATTTGTGTAGTTTTTATCGAGATTTATGGAGATATTTTCTCCATAATTTAATATTTGAGGCCAACAGAAATATAATTAAATTTAAGTTGTTCCTTTGTTTTCCATAAACACCAAAAGGAGGACGGGGTTTCCTGGCCTTACACTAAAATCCCGCTGATGCCGACACTCAATTTAATGTCTGGGTCTGAGCTACATGCTTTTATAATTGGCCATAAACTGAACAAAACTTGCAGGAGTTCAATTTACATTTCGGAAGAAAAAGCATGTTTAGTTCTATTCTGGCGGTATTCCGCCAAAATCAGGGGCGGATTTAGGCGGGGTGCCGGGGGGTGGGGATCGGGGGAGGGGGGGCGGACGCCCCTTCCTCAGGGATTCGACCCCCTGCCGACCCAAAGGGTCCCCCCTTTGATACTTTTTCAGATATCCATTTTTGGCGGATCGACCCTAAAATTTTTCTAAAGGCGCCTTTGGCGCCAATATATACTAACTTTGAGGGGGAGCGCGCGCCAAAAAAAACGCAATTTTTTTGTCAAAATTTTTCAAAAAGTGCCCAAAAACGGCTTTTTTTGACTGTTTTTTCAAAAATTTGCCTGCGGCGCAGAAAATTTTGCCAAAATAGGCGCAAAACAGTGCTTTGGGAGAGCTCGAAAAATCAATTTGGTCGACCTAAAAAAAAAAAAAGTCGTCAAAATTTTGGAAAATTTTTCGAAAATCCGCCCCCCCTCGAGAAAATCCTAGATCCGCCCCTGGCCAAAATACTTGAATTCATGAAAACAGAAGGACAAGGTATCATTGTCTCGTCTTATATAATGTAAACATTTTCCGCCATTTTTTTGTTGTTGTTTGTTTTTAATGAGTTTGTTTTCAAAGCAGCTAATTACAGGTTTAAACGTACACCTGCCGTTCTAAAAAACTTGAACTGTAAGCCATGATAAAAGTTCAGATATTGAAGAAAGTTCAAAAAGACTTTAAAAGTGCTAAAGTTCTATGATTGCAGAAGCACGTTAAGGTAACACCGATACTTAACAGCTATGCAAGTTCCAACTATGTCCTTTATCCGAAGGTTAACCATTTACGCTATACTAGGCTTCGAGAGCCTTCATCTCAGTCAGGAACGGATCCGTGGTTTTCTCAAGGAGGAGGGGGGGGGGGGCTGGGGGTTGTCCATTAACGTTCAAAAATTGTGGCACGCTTTTCGTAGGTAGAGCAAATTCTTTTTCCGAGACCTCACCGAAACCGAAGAAAGAAACAGAAGTTAGAAAGTCCATCTTACCATAATAAACGCTGTGCCGTGATCCAATTTTCAAAAAGATTTTAAAAAAACCAAATAAAAAAATAGCTTGAGACCAAAGTCAGAAATGTTCCCTTTAGAGACCCCATACTGAAAATTTACTGTTAAATTAGATCTGGTCACCGTAAAATCCTGAATTTGTAGGACTTCCGCGGATCTGAAACTTGTCTATTTTAAGCATGTGCATATCTTAAGACCGACAAGTCGCAGATTTCTGATAATTCTTTTGCGACATTTCTGATCAGACATAAATGATAGCTGATCCAGATCTGTTTCAGATCATAATCAGGGCAGAATTAGGGCTGATTAGAATCTAAAAACATTACATGTGTCTCTATTAAACACGTTCCAGGTGGATTTTAAAATCCCAGGCTGAGCATTACACAAGAAAACTGCCAGTCTTATAGTTACATATATGGAGCTTATGAAAAGTTTCTTGTCATACAAACTCAAACTATGAAAATTGATTGACTAACGTTTTTTTTGAAAAAGGAAATTTCTTCTGCAACCACCAAATAACTTTATATTACACATAAGCACCTTCACAGTTGATACACAATCTGGAATGTTATTAAAACTAATTTTAGTGACCACAAAATCTAGATAAATGCATGAACTATTTCATGAAAAAATGATTGTCAATCAATTTCATACGACAAAGAGACGCAAATTGTAGAGTTATTATACAGTTTTCTAGGCAGTAGGAAAAACTTGTTTAAAAAAAAGAAATTGTATGACCAGGGTTTTTTGTCAGCCATGAAATTGAAAAATTTCAAAAAGGAGGTTTCGATGAATCTTTTTCATTCACAATCTTCAGAAAAACTAAAACTTTTATAAATCAATGAACCATTTTGACCTGAATTTTAAATCATTTGAAAACTAGGAATGTTGCAGATTAACTCGTCAAACACCTATAGTTTCTAGTGACGAGTTTGTACTCCCATACAAAACTAATTCAAAGGTTAAGCATAAGCGAATAGTTTACATTGTCAGGAACTCTTTTTCAATAAGGGGGCGGGAATAGTTACCAACATTAGATAAAGTGAAATCAATACAAGTACTGTATCGTTTTTATTGTAAAAATTTGTTGTTTTTTTTGAAAAAATCTTTTCAGCGTTTGCATTATTTCAAGTTTTAATTACTGAGTTTTCATGTGTCTTTTTGGTCAGAATCAAACGCATGCATGATCAAATCTGATTCAAATCTGACCACACTTGACTCAAGTCTGGTCATTTCTATGAAAAAAAAATATTTAAAAAAAGTTACACACGAATTTCCAGGCATGCACATGACTGTTTTCAGATCCTCTGGGTACTTGAAATCTGTCGAAAAACTGAAAAGGTCTTTTTTCCGTGAAAAAAAAGTACATGCGTGAAAAAAAAATTCTTTGAATATCAAATCGAAACTTTATCTCAAAACAACAAATCCGAGAAAAAAAATGTCTCTTCAAGGTATCAACCCAAAAAAAGTAATGAGCATCAAATTTTCCCGTTTTCTAGGAGACCAATTTAAAAAAAAAACAATTCAGTTTCCGAGATTAACCGATGGAAAAATTTTTTTAAAACCGAACAGAGAATTGTTCCCTCGAAGAGATAAAACTTATAAACAGTGTCGTTTCTTATTTCCAAGAGATAAATAGATCCCATTAAAATACCCTAATAAAAGTTACCTCTTAGGAGTCTTAACAAAAAAAACGTCACCTCACGACACCAATTCAAAACTTCTTTATTTTGATACCAAAATTTGGTTTCCTTTTGAGACTACATCAAAACTTTTACCCTCTGAGATGAACTCATAAAATGCCCCCTAATTAAAACAAATTGAAGAGCCCTTTTTGTTCACCTTGTTTGTGTTAAGAAATTATGTTTTCACCAACTCAGCGTTCTGCTCCTCAAATTATAGTTTTGACGTATGATTATATGTTGAGGAGCTGAACGCTTAGTTGGTGACAACATGATTTCTTAACATGCTCACGGTGAACAAAAAAGCTCTCCAATTTGGTCTAATTATGAGGCATTTTTTGAATTCATCTGAAAGGGTAAAAGTGTTGACGCAGTCTCAAAAGGAAACAACGTTTTTGGTGGTGGTATATAAACCAGTCGAAGATTAAACCAGCGATTTATGAACCAGCCGAAAAAAAACGTAATTGTTAAATAATAGCTGTATAACAATTCTGCAACAGTTATGAAAGTCTTTCAATTTCAGTGATATGAGTCATGACATAACTGTTTGACTGGCTTATAAAATTTTATAGCGCGTCTCAGGCTGATTTTTATTTCAGCTGGTATTTTCACTCTCAAATTTAGTTTGAAATCAAATTTATTTTGTGCAGGGGGGGGGGGGGGGGGTGGGCTGATTGTTTATTTAGTTCGTACAGAGGGAAATGGTTCGCATGTTCCGATTTCTCTACGGAGTTTGTAAAAATTCTGAAATTTCAAGATCAAGACATTATATGTTAATAAAACCAAAAAAAAGTAAAATATTTGAACAAACTCCAAAATCATTCGATCAACTTCTTTCTACTCGCCTGTAAGTCGAACGGGAAGTGAAGCACTTCTAGTCGGCACTGGAGGTTGACCCGGAAGGGCTTCAGCACCAGTACCTCCCCGTCGTGCATGATGGACGGCGGGGCGGGGAAGTGTTCGTTGAAGTGCTCGTCCGACAGCTGGTTGAAGAACATGATGTCTGGGATCCACATGTACTTGGACTCGAAGTCCAGTCTGTTGATGCCCCCGAACTTACTCGGATCCCACTGGATAAACTCGTTGTACCTGGATGGAAGTTAAGAATTGACACTACTGCTGAGCAGAAACAGAAGCCCACGAAAAATTAATTTTAAAACAGAAGTCAGTTTTTTCTTTATCGGAAACACTTAACGCTCAATAATTGAGATAGTAGTTTTTTTTTTAAAAAAAAAAAAGAACATTTTTTGTAACAGAGATAAAAATTTATTGAAAACACAGCTTTAGCGGCTGTAATCTCATCAAAAACAGATCAAAACTCAGAAGGTCAATTTTTATAAAATAATATTGCTGTGAATTATTAGAATGAGAAAGTACTGCTGAACTGTTAGTTTGCTCACACTTAAAACCCGTTTTTTTTTTGCATCAATCAACCTTTTAAAATTTAGTTCTTCACCATGGTAGACCAATATGCATCAAAATTTTTGCTTTAAAGTTTCAACTATCAAAATTGCCGAATGTCTTTTTTGAGGCGATTGAAAATAGTTATCTGGTAATATTTTTCGTGAAAGGGTCTTTAGGAATATAATAAAAACATGAAATTTCAATGATGTCAGACGAGCTTTGGAAAACGTGGTAAAATAGCCATGTTACAAAATACTTCATCATCAGTTTGCATGATTCTTAAAAAATTTACAACAAAAGCAACCAAAAAACATGCCAAAAGGGGAATGAACCAATTTTTTGACTACTCATTCATGATGTGAGGTGGTTATCGCAACTGTTTCGATTGACTTAAACTGAAGCTTATTAGTTTTACAAAAAAATCAAAAGAGGTTTTTGAAATAATGGAAAACCAGCGACAAAGCAAGAAACACAAAACACAGCCGACATTCTCCTGAAAAAAGGCGCGCAATTAGGGTTTTCTCGAGGAGTGGCAGATTTTCAAAAATTTCTAAGTTTTCGAAAATTTTGTTGACCTTTTTTTATTTTCGGCACTGTTATACTTCCGCATTGTTGTAAGGCCCTGAACGAACTACAAGGACAATTTTCCGAAACAAAAACCCGGAAGATCTATTCAAGTACTTTTTTTTGAACAATCATAACTCTTAGAAAAAACGACAGAAAAAAAACGTATCGAAACTGAACCATAAATCTTCTCGTTTTGTATCTTTTTTACTCATTCGAGATTTTCCCTCACTTTTTCCTCTCATTTAGCACAATTTATTTGACAAAGATTTTAGAATAAACTTAGAGGCTCTGAACCGTAGAAGGTATTCATTTGAAAAACATTTCAATAAGTTTAGAGCCGACTCGATTGAAATTGGCGTCAAAATTTAAAAAAAAGGCATGCATGAAGCCATTTTACTTTTCAAATTAACCTAATTCATGACGATATTTCTTTCTTACCATCTCTTTTTTCGTTTTTTTTTAATACTGTGTTTTACGTCACCAAACCAGGCTTTATAATTAAGCACAAAATTGTTTCACAATCAATGCCTTTGATTATCACATACACCCGCTTGGAATGATTTAGAAAAAGCAGAAACAAATGATTCGTACACAATAAGCAGACAATTTTATTAATGTCAGTGGAATTCTTAGACTAATCAATTTTAGCAATTGAAACGAAATCCACCAAGTGTAACTAAATCTGCCGTACTTTTTCTCAAACTAGTTGTTTTTGTCTGTATATCTGCAATTTTGAACAAAACTTTGCGTTATGGTGCTTCATTCCGCAAATTTAATGTGGGTTAAGTGATTTGTTTATTAGGATGAGCAAAACTGCACGCATCAGGACGAAGCCCTGAATGATTCGATTGCGTTTTAATTTCTATAAAGTAGATCAACTATTGATAAATTTTGCATTTAGCAAACTATTAGTTAGACTGAAAAGCATGCCTCAATCCAACTTAGAACAATTTATAAGACAGATTAAATCTGCGCTTACGCTTTAAAACATGAAATATATGTTGTTAAATGTCTAAAACATGAAATATAGAGTGTTAGTGTCTCAAACTAGCCAAATTGTTAATCTTTAAACACCCCTTATTTTGCAAAGATTTAACCACAGGTAGAATATTTTTTCAAACTAAACTCAGGACAACAAAATGCTTCAAATGATATGAAAAAATTCCGTCAAAAAATGCTATTCAAGAAGTTGCTTTGTCTGAAGAAAGAAAAACACCCAGAGCACAAATGTTCCGTCACTTTCTTCGAAATCTGTAATTGGCTATAAAATGAGAATTGTTGTGTTTCCAGTTAATTTATCAGTATCCAAAATTAGGGTTCAAAACTCATTGTTTCGTATCTGACGTGACTTAATCAATTCCATCTAGTTTTGGCTTCAAACAATTTTCGGCATGCAAAAATCGATTCAAATTTTGTTAGCCACAGGAAAGCCACAGATTACCAATATTCCAGATTGCAGTCATAACCGAGCGTGGTGCGTGGTAATGTAGGTCAGATGCACGAAAAATCCTCAGAAAATTTTTGTTAGTGAATTTTTTACTGTTTTTTGCTTTAAAACGAGATCGTTAATCGTTAATCGCGGTGGCGTCCCTCATGGTGCAGAGAAAAAATAGTTTTAAGTGTTTTCAGTCAATCAGAATGTAGCTTTTAAAAATCTCAAAGCAATCGCAAAAGTGTCAAAGAAAACCAACAGGTACATGAATTTGTAAAAATAGCTAAAAAATAGTATTGATAAAAACCAAAAATCAGTTTTAAAAACGAAACATAAAACGAGAACATTATTGTCTATCTGCACTAATTGTACAGTAAAACTATGATGTGCTATTAAGCCCATTTTTTTAAATATTGAATTCGGTTTTGAGCAAAAGCCATTCAATCAATAGGAAAGCCTAATGATTCTGATTGGTTAAAAATTTTCGATCATTTGGTTCTTTCATCATGATAATGCCCCCGTTAAAAATGACTATGACAAAGATATTAGAGTGTGTAAGCAACGCATGAATTTCATGAAAAATAAACACAGTTTCTGAACGTAAAAGGATCAAAATGTTCCGTTTGAAAATCATGTACTCATTATTTTGCTTTCACTGACGGTTGATCTTAATTGTTCACTGTTTTGCACTAGACATTTTCAGCAACTTCTGATCAAATTTACCGACAAAACTTCAAAACCTACATCTAGCTTTTCTTTTTCTTGTACCTGAATATGTAAAATTTTCAAATTTTTTTTTGTTTTCAGCTATAAAAAACATTGGATGCCGATTTTATCTGACACTTTTGAAGCTATTTGGCATTCAATTAAAAGCTTGCTGCTGAGGTCAGCTCAGATTATCAAAAATGTGAAAATGCAAAAGAAATTTCAAAAAAACTACAAACTGTTTTCGAACATCAAATATTTATTTGCCAGACATAAATTGGCGTTTTGATCTTAAAAAAAAATCTTATCTTTATTCTATCTTCTTGATTCGATTTGCCTGATAATTTTCAAGCACAATTTGATTCACAAAACTGACGTAAAAAATTGAAATACGTCTTCTTGTTTAAAAAATTCAGGTTTAGCTTCGAATTATTCTGAAGGAAATGAAATAAAAACTGCTATTCTTGGCGGCGAAATGGTTTTGTTGGCCATAAATTAAGAACACGTTTCATCTCAAAATGAATAATTAATCAGAAGTACCACAGCAACATCGAAGGATCATCATTTTTTTTTGTTAAGTGCTTGGAAGAATAAAAATTAAATATACAATTGAGACTAAATTATAAAGGGAAAAAATCACATTTTGAAAAAGTATACCACAAAACTATTTTGTAAAAGTTCTAAAAGCAAGATTTGCATGACATCAAGTTCTAAAAAGAGAAAAAAAGTTTGAAACAGGTTGAATGTAACATTTTCTGTGTTGAGACTTTTTTTAGGTCGAACCAATTTGTTTTTTGATGTATCCCAATACAATTTTAAAAACATTTGCTCCAAAATGGAGCTTTTTGAAAAATTTATTAACCACTGTTTGAAAACTTGCGACCAAAAATATACGCTTACAAAAATTTAAAGCAGGTCGACCAAAAATGGATAATGAAATATAGAGCCGAAAGGGGACCCCTTTGTGAAGGCAAAAGTGAAGTCCCTGAGGAGTTCAAGGAGCGCCCCCCCTCCCTCTTAATCCGCTCCTGATTTTAAGAGACTCACGCTCTAGCGATTGTAAAAAAATGTATTTATATACATAACTTGAGTTTATCAATGGTTCAGTTTTGGTTTTCTAAGCTTGAAGAACCATGAAAAATGAATTATTTTGGTTGCAAGCTGATAGTTAAAAACTAAATGCAATTTCTTTCAGAAGCAAAACAAGTAGCCTGTAATCCAAGCTAGCGGAAGAACCAATCTTACTAAAATCATTAGCTCAATCGAAACCTTTTGAATAACACTCCGCACCTATTTTATTGACCAAGTCTCCCACAAGGTTCAAAAACAGCCCCTTAATAAAACTGTCGATGTTCTAACTGGATATAATAAATAATAATTGGTAGAATTTGGCAGTATTTTCGAGCGGGCGGTCTAAATTATGGCTCGGTGTTGTACCAATACATCAAAAGTTTATTGTAGCTCTAATACGTTTTCATTTGATTCTTCCGGTTCAGACCGTTTGACATGTAAATTTTAGGATTCCTTTGAACAATCGACACATTTTTGTAAACAGCAACCAGAATGTCAAGCCTTGTTCAAAGAAGCTGATATGAGTAAATCTTCATTGCGAAAATAGTTCACGGATTATTAGGACATCAAGCTTAACATTTGATGATTATTTACTTCAACCATTGCGACAAAAATTAGGTCCCAATTTTTTTCTGATTTTGATGAAAAGGACAGAAACTTTGTTGTCGGCGCACAGTGCTTATTGAAACTATCCGGAAAAACGAATAAAAATTGAAATTTGAACGCATTAATCTCCAAATTGGGATGACGTCGGCAAAAAATGAAAAAGTAAAACTTAGCTTAGATGTTAAGCAGAATTAATATGGTGAAATTCGTTTTCCAAAAATTGGGCCAATAATCTTAGCCCGAATTTTGGTTTTGTTTATTGATATTTAGACCCAGACAGAGGTTTAGTTTCTGGCAAAACTAT